TTGGTTAAACATTAATATAGAATAATAATAAAAAAAAAAGCATTGAATAAATAAACTTTCTTTTTTGGTTTCCATTTACAAATAAAAAAAAAAAAACTATTCAGGGATAAATTTTATGTTCTAAATGTAACAGCTGTCTTTGAGACAGAGGTTTTATTTAAAAAGAAAAAAAAGTTGGACAGGGTGTGAAGTTATTCAAGTAGGTATAGCCAATGTCAATACTGTTTGTATACATGATTTTCATGTTAAAAAAACATCAGTTTCCAAGAACAGATGTAACTGGACAGATTGATTTGTCATTTAATTTTTATAATACATGTTTTTTCTTTTTTTTTTTCTTTTTTTTTCCTTTTCTTTTTTTTTCCTTTTCTTTTTTTCTTTTTGTTTTTTTTCTTTTTGTTTTTTTTTTTTTTTTTTTTTTTTTTTTTTTTTTTTTTTTTTTTTTTTTTTTTTTTTTTTTTTTTTTTTTTTTTTTTTTTTTTCTTTTTGTTTTTTTTTTCTTTTTTTTTTTTTTTTTCTTTTTTTTTTTTTCTTTTTTTTTTTTTTCTTTTTGTTTTTTTTTTTTTTTTTTTTTTTTTTTTTTTTTTTTTTTTTTTTTTTTTTTTTTTTTTTTTTTTTTTTTTGTTTTTTTTTCTTTTTTTTTTTTTTCTTTTTTTCTTTTTGTTTCTTTTTTCTTTTTGTTTCTTTTTTTTTTTCTTTTTGTTTTTTTGTTTGTTTTTTTTCTTTTTTTTTCTTTTTGTTTTCTTTTTGTTTTTTTTTTCTTTTTGTTTTTTTTTTCTTTTTGTTTTTTTTTTTTTATCCCAGTAGAACAAACTTTATGTATTTGATGTTGATATGTTTTCTTTTGTGATGTATTGCCATTCATATTGTAATGAAAGAAGAAAGATTTATTCTCTCATTTGTATTTACCCTGTTATGGGCATTATTATATCCATGATATAATAACACTGTAGCTCACGGACAGAATTGAATAGAATGACTGAAAGGAAAAAGAATGCCAAACATGCTTTGTTCTCAGAGAGACTTTTATAATACTAAGACATAGACAAAACCATATATATAAATATATACACATGTCTCACATGGAGAACTATGTCTCATGTTTTTAGGACTCCTGATTCAAACAGGCAGGATTCATCTCTGTCCCAAAGGGAAATGAAACCATGTGCTTGGAAGCTGCTGGGGAGGCAGATTTAGCCTCAGGAAAGAAAGCAACTTTACTGTTTGATTACTGTCCATGTACTGAAAAATGACTACTGCTTTGGTCACTGTATGGAGTGCCATCACAAAGCAGTCATTATGTGACTTTTCTCCACCAAAGCTCCTTCTGTATTCTTACAAGACTCTCTCCCTAAAAATGCTCTCAAACCTGCCATAAGTAGTCAATTTTATTTTGCTTTTTGTTGATATAATAGAAATGTGGGAACATACTTTATATAAACTACAATATAGAAAAGAATATGCATGCAATGTCTGTTAAAATGTACAAAGATGGTTTAAACAATGTCCATTGAATAGCACAAACAGTTCTTCCTGTGTTATTATAATGCAAAAGTTCATATGAAAAATATGTGCTGAAAAAAGAGAAAACAAATTAAGATATAAATATGTCAGTGCAATCAAATGATGTCTGGATCTGGTCACAGTTTGAATTTGTAAATCTGGTGTCACTGGAGATGGTGTAGTGACTGGTGTGTCTCTATTTAGTCATGTAGCATCCAGAAAGGTTGGCTTCATCATTTTGTTTGTGTTGTTAATGCGTGTATTAGAAATTTTAATGTCTCTTCAATGGTCCTCTGTATGTGGCTGCAATGCATTTGACTTGGCTAAGTCATGCACTATTTCAAAGTCAGTGTTCAGGACATGAATATTTGAAAATTTCAAGATGCTAAGTAGTCCTGAAAAAAATACTTCTGAGGCTATTAATCCTTTTGTTTGTCCAGAAATGATTGGTAGTCCATATATGTGTCTTTAGCAGGAAAACATTAATGCCAGTAGTAGAGATGTGTAATGGCCAGAGTCTGTCCCTCTGGCATAAGCAACATAAGATCGCCAGTGTTGTGCATGGGAGACTCGATCTGTGCAGACTAGGTGATGTCTCATGTGACTGAAAATATTGTGTAGTGATCTAACTAGACACCATAAAAAGTCAGCCTTTAACACCATGGAGTGATTCGAAGGGATGCCCCCAGTGCAACAGGAGTGAATTTCGATAACTCTGTCACATATACTTACAAACTATGTTGGAGGGAAAGTTTGATATCCATCTTGTATCAGTTTGACAGCACAGCATCCAGGACAAATGTGTTTGAATTGATAGAAAAGGCAGAACTATGCAACCTCCTCCTAGGGGTTCTAATGATGTGATTTGTCATTGATGCAATGGCTTTAATCACTTCACCAAAGATTGCTCATCAGAGGTAGGAAACCTTGTATTCATTGTTATAACAGCAATAAAATAAGCCACATATCCCAAGATTGTCAGTTGTTTAGGATGGCAGCTTAGCACTGGTTTCCTTCCCAGTCAAGATGTAATCTCGGTGATGCCAACGATAGAAATTAATGTGTGTGGAAGGAAGTGCATAATGCTAATGGACTCCAGGTGTTCCCTCACCATAATGAACAAGGTGTGCTGAACATGGAAGAAACAAAGCATTGACATCGTAACCATCAGTGGCAGAATGCAAACATGTGGAGTTAGGCCCATTGGCCTTCATGTGGGTAATGGAAAAGCTGTTGTGATGAATGCCCTGGTAGTGCTAGAGGACCCCCTTCGATTTGGTCTCCTTATTCGAATAGATGCAATCAAGGCTCTTGGTTGAATGTCTGTCAATTGATCTGGCCCCAAACCGATGACAAAAAGGGAAACTGAAGACAGTAGATATATGGCATAGACTAGGGATGGATATCACCCATTACAGGGGTGCTCACTACCTGACCCTGACAGATTATAGGTCTACCCAGTTTGCCATTATTGACTTCTACAACAAGAAGATTTGGCTACTGTGGTCCAATGTCTCAACTCTATCTTTTTTGATAGGATCCCACCTAAAGAGATCTTGACGGGTAATGATATGGAATTTAACAGAAGGAGCATTAGAATGCTTGCTGAGATGTGGGGTGTCCAATGTGCATATGCACCATCTGGAAACAGCATTGTTGAACAATCGCACAGATCCATAAAGCAGATTACTGCCAGAAAGCAATGCTCTGCCCATGAAGCAGTTTACACCAAAGAATGGTGTCTGTGGTTTGACTGCTCTGGCTAATACTTTGTACCAGTATGAAGTCCAAGTGAAAGGTGTCAACAGGATCATCCACTGAAGCCTGAGTCTGAGCAGGGTATGTAGAAGAAAGCGGATGTCATACTAGTAAGGAATCCACCAAACAGATGCATGAGTAAATGGAGGACGGGCAGTGACTGGATTTATGAGTCCCCAAATGTTGTATGTGGATGGAATGCCATGCCATGTGAGAGACCTCTGTCCTTTTTCTCATATGGTGAGTAGTTTTGTGGAAGATGAAACCACCACATTGAGTGACGATGAGATGTACATACCTTTAACTAAGGATAAAGACAACTCTAACCAATTGAGTAACAATGGCAACAATAAAGGTTGGCAGATCATGTCAGGGCCATCTTAAAAAGCAAGTGAGTCTGCCGAACTGCTTCTTCGAAGAAGCAGCAGATGTAAAAGGCTCCACCAAACCCGGCTGCTACCTGTGTGATAGTGAGATCATGGGAAGGTGTAGTGGATACAGCCTGTCCCTCCGGCATAAGCGACATAAGATCACCCATATTGTGCACAGGTGACTCAATCTGTGCAGACTGGGTGATATCTTACATGACCAAAATTCTATTTAATGGCTTCACTAGATGGCATAAAAAAAAACAGTCTTTGTTAATACCGGGGAGTGACTTGAAAGGACACTGCTGGTGTGACAGGAATGAATTTCAATAACTCAGCCACATATACTTACAGATGTCAACTGCCAAACACAAATGCTTGCTAGAAACAATATGATACAACTCAACCACACAGGACAATACCAATTCAATTTTGTGAAATGATGTCATAGTAAAATTCTCCACACACATGGTGGTTTAATTAAATATCCTGCAATGCAGGAAAATATCTCCCAGAAAAATAGCATGAATGAACAATAAAATACTTGAGAAAGGCCAGATGGGAAAAATAAAATATTTGGATTAAATATCAGCCAAATTTATGTCAGGTGCTGCTATGTAGTTAAGTAAAATTAATGACCTCAATTAGGTTAAAGAGGTGGAGCTTACAACCAGGTGTTATGAGGCATGGTCTCCTCTGAAGTGCCCCCAAATCAAACACAGCTTGGAGATGAGAATGATGGTGGCCATGCTGAATAATATCTACATTCAACATGATAAAAAAAATATAGGAAACAGATTCCTGTCAAAATGTGTATACAACAGCGTAATTACTGTTAATATACGGCAGTCAAGTAACTACAAAAAAAATGAATTATAAAGCTTGAAATATTTTAACTGTGATGAGAAAAGAACTCTGCCAATATATTTTCACATGCTGCATATTGCTCAAGAGCTGCAGCTTTGACCACTTGTTCCATATGATGGAATTGATATAATTAATATAGGCAATCAGTGGTTGCGGAAATTTGTTTCAAGGACATTTTTATGCATTATAAGTGTAACATAAAAGGCAATAAAATAAAATACTTTTAAAGTGACAGCTCCCCTCCCTGTCTATTATAACCAAAATGATAATAATGCCAAATAGTAGTGTGATTATACTCTTCCTGCTAGTACTTTGGTTTCACTAGTCCAGACCTTCACAGCTAGGACCCACCAGGCCACATACAGTGTCACCTCCTCCTCATTCCTTTTATATTCCATTGGTAAGGATGATTCCTTGATCACTACAATCTCATCCTCTTCAAATTTAGAGCTAACTGTTATCTATCCTACATATCCTCATAATATCTTGCTGGGCTTCTGACAACATCATTGAAACACTAGTTCCCATATGATCACCAAAGTCAAGCAACAGTGAGATTGGTCAGTACCTAGATGGGTGACCACTTGGGAATACCAGGTGCTGTAAACTTGGATGTGCAGATAGTGTAATGGATTATGGCTCGGAATTGTTAAGCAGAAAGCTGAGTTCTAATTCCAGGTGGGTTTGTTTTATTCATTTTCAGTGCAAATACTGATGAGGAAAGGTATGAACCCACCTCTTCTCTTCCCCTAGCTATGGGTTAATTAGTAAGATTTGTATCCCTAAATCATTATCTTAATTTTTCCTGCATATAGCCTGCAAAGTGTTGATAAGCCATAAAAAACAAATCAATCAAAGCTCTTGCTCTCTCTTTGTACACCCCTACAACAACCTTATTTAATAACCCTCTATTTGAAGTGGCTCTTGAGCCTAGTATTAGGTGAACAACAATAATAATAATAATAATAATAATAAAAAAAAGAAATGTTTAATTATAAAATTTTAATTGTTTTTGTTGTAGCATACCTACGGAGGATAATGGATATGCCCCCATTCCCATAAATACAGTAGTGAATACTGTATATGTTAATCTGCAGATGGAGATTCAGTGTGGAATTCACTTGACTGACTTCTAGCAGTTGACTACTACTTCTACATGCCACTAGCAAATCTTATATGTTTTGTTCTTGTCCTAAGTATTATTGTTCATTACCAACCTTCGTGTGATTATTCTATTCAGTAACCTTCCCTAGGTTACAACAGTTTTATTTCAACTCCCAAATTGGTATGGCATTTCTTATTTGAAAATCTTGGAAAATTAGATTTGCTCTTTGCTCAGATCCATACCTTTTCTTCCTGTAATATAATCGTTTAAAATATTTCATACCATTCTTAATTATTTCCCTCCCGCCATTATAACATTTATATTTATTCAATGTTTCAGATGAATTTTATCAAACCAGGAAAACGTCCCCAGTCGTCTGTGAGTCCCGCAATCGTCCATTCAACACTGGCCCCTTGTGATCTTAGAATTGCTATTGGTGCCACAAACGGTAGTAAGATTCCCACTGGTAAGCTTTTATTTCTGTAACCATCATTTGGTGAGTTGTGAAGGAGAAATCAAAATTGAAAATGTGGAAAACACTGTTACACTATACATGACATTCTATTCACTCCTCCAAAAGCCAGATGTTTCTGTTATAACTTGTTATCCATACCTATGTATCTATAATATATCTAAAACTTTGTTATAAATGTATATGGTTGCATGAGAGAACAAACAAAATAACAAAATACGGCCAGTGAGGTGAAAAGAAGACAAGAATTGTTGATATAAAATTCTTTATATTGTTGATGTAGAGGATTAAGGCAGAATGTCTCTTTGTGAGGATAAGGAGAGTTAGTAGGGTCTGGAGTAAATGTTTGGGTTGATAGAAGACAGCCTGCCCACTCACCTGATGCGACTGATTTCACTGTTGTGAACATTAAAATCAGAGGTGGTTAATCATGACTCGGCAGTTTTTGTTATGCTTTTGCTTTAATGGCAATGTTCGAGATTAGCTTCACTTAAGTTGTATTTTATATTTTTGGGATGGCAGAGGGAATTGCTTTGTGAGCCAAATGTAATACACAGTGTCCCTGCATAGAGGGTGACTTTAGTTTTGCTTTCTTAGCATTTTGTTTGACTAGTGTAATAGTTACCAACACCAAAAAATAGAATCAGCAAGCAGAGTTCAATATCCGGCTGAGACACTGTTTACATAAATGCCCTTGGAAAAGTCACAACTCCCAACACTTTTCTCCTCAGCTATGAATAAAATGATATGATGAACGGGACTCTTTAGCCCTTGAATCTAGAAGGAAAAGTGAATTCAAAACCATAGAGGAAACAGGAAACCAATCTGTTGTAACAGTCATGACAATGTATAGTTTGTTAAAGAAAAGGAAGCTGTAGAGAGTCATAACTGCCTATATCCTGAAGGAACATGGTACAAAAAAATCTTTATTATTAATATACTGCAAAGCATAATGATTGCACTGTCAGTGATGTTGATTCTATTTTCGTGAAATCTCTTTGGGCTTTTTAATAACATTAAAGCCAAAGACCAAATTCTAAACAAGGTTGAAATATAAGAGAATAAAAACTTGAAATTCCAATGGATAATTTGTTAAAACAGATATATTTTAGAAAGCTTTTGCAATCCTTGATCACTCTTGAGAAATAAATGAAACGAATAAATGAATGACTAAGCTACATTGTATAAATTATAAATTCAAATTAACAAAAAAATTAAATCAAATTGAGTTCAAGACATGCATAAGCTGAAAGCGTGAGAATTACTTAAAGAAAAAAAGTGACATTTCAAAATCAGAGTAGGAAAAAAAAAAACTACTATTAGTTTTTTTCATATTTTCTGTTGAAGTAGTGAAGTCCATGCTGGGTGAAGCTGTGCTGTATCAATTCTATTACAAACATTTTCGGTTGAAACATGTTTGCCACAACCATTATTTAGCCATGGACAACTGTTTCCTTCCACTCCTAGAGCATTACAAAATGTAAGTGCTAAAATCTTGTGTAGAGAACTGTGACACAGTCTTTCACATGGAGCATTCTTTTACAAATTCCTTAAGTTAACAATAATACTGTTTTGTTTTTTGTTTTTTTTCATCATCCATACATTTGTAAATTTAAAAGCTGCTATTCAAAACTAATGTTTTTGGGGTTTTTTTTAATTTATTTTCTGTATTATAAAAATACTGAAATCATATTTGGATTTTATATTACAAAGATACACTATGGAATTTCAGTAAGTCTTACTTGTAGATATTAAGAATACTAGATTATAGATGTTACTAGCTATCAGTTTTTGTTGATCTAAGAAACCCTAAAGATAAGATTTGGGAGATTTGGTTAACTGGATCATTTTTGTATTAATTATTAGGTCTTTTCATCAAGACATGGAAGCTTTGGTAAATGTTAATGACAGTCTTGTTGGAAATTGTTAAATAAATTTGTATTTACAAAACTATTTACATGAATTCAAGAGAGTCAAAAAAGGTTGTAGTTAAATAAGACTTTGAAATAGTTGATCCACAAAAAAAGCTGTGGCTGTAAAAAAGCTTTTATCATTAGTGAAAATTCATTGACTGTCTTTGTTGGAGATGATTCATTTGAAGTCACCGACTGACCATCAGCAAAGATTCACTGACCATCCAAGCTATTGTGGCTGATTCATTTGAAGTTGCCAATATGTTTCTTTCAGCACACACTGTGGGGGAAGAAGAAAGATTTTAGCCATGTCTTCATTTGTGTTTGATCAGTCCAAAGACAGTCACATCTGCTCTGAAAGTCAAAATTTGTAGGTTTTTATCAGAACTATGGGAGTAATAGACAAAGAAGGGAAAGAAACTGGTGGTAACAAATTAACCCTACTTCAGAAATCACAGCACAGTGGACGGCACAGCAAATGCCCACAGGACTAACTTCGCATGACACAGTCTTGCCTGCTGCTGGTTTTCCTGTAACTTTTATTGGTATGAGGCATCTTACAAAGATTTGGATCTTGACCCAATGCAGAGAGGCCTGTATCTAGACATGCCAAGCTGTTCTGCTGCTAATGGGAGAAAACCCAGATGCAACTCAAGGCCTCTTTTGCAGCTTATACCAATCCACGGCACAGTGGTTGGAGACTGCTGCTATAATTTATCCAATCTTTAGAAAGATGATAATTGTATTAAATGGAGATCAGCTTGATTTTCAATCTATTCCCTAACCATCTTCAATTGAAGGAAAAAGATCTCCTATATGCTGTTGACTGGCTTGGTTATATATTCTCAGGAATATATACATTTGTTGATAAAACAGGCTTTCTGTAACTTTTTGGCTTGACAATCAGCTTAAAAAAAAAAATTTGTTGTACCACCTCCTGCATACACCTCAGACAAATGTCTTTCAGCAATCAAAACTCTGTCGACAAAGTTCTGTTCATCAGCAGGTTTATTGAAAGCCAAAAGGGGTGAAACTAGAAAAAAGAAATAAATACAAACCTGAGACTAGTTTAGTCAAAATAACAAAATAAATAAGGAAGGGAAAGACAAAATATGACAAAGAGGTTGAAAGTTGAGCATAACTGAAAGACTGAGTTTAATGTGTAAAGGAGGTAGCAAGTACTTTGCTGACAGGAATTGTTTTAATGTTTACCATAAATTAGTTTACTGAGGACTGTTATACGTGGTAAAAATGGGTTCTATATTATGAAGTACAGTTAGCAAAAATAAATGTACACAAAATAGTTTCATTAAACAAATGTTCAGCTAATAATGAGATCTTAAGAGAATCCAAGGAGATGAACATTACATGCTCAAGATGCTATCATTTGGGGTTAAAATCTGAATAGAAAGTCAGAACCATCCACCTTAAGCTTGTTGCTTATTCTGATGGTTCCAGTACTTTTTAAGGACTAAAGTGGAAGTGGTCAAAGCAGTAACTAACCCAAAATATCCTTTAAAATAGGAGACATAAAATAATAAAGGTGCTGTGTAGTAACAATAATTCTCTTGTTTCAATCAGCTGTAGAGAAATTGTATGTGCTGTCTAAAATCTGTTTAAGAGAAATTGTTAAAATGCTACCATACATTAGGAGGACTTTAAATCATAACACTTTAAATGATGAGATTAATCACAGCCTGCAGAAAGCTATCAAGGCTTTCAAGCCAGTTGATGCTTTTGTTTGCTAACTTAATTCTAAGTGAAATGCTTCATTAAAACCAGTCTTTAATCCCTGTGTTATTTCAGTCTTCTTATATTCATGTGAAATATGAATTTCCTTTCATAGACACATAAAGCAATTATGTTAAAAACTGGCAATTTTAAAATCCAAATTTAATCACTATAAGTTTAAAAACTACAAAATTATTGAGAAAGGAAAAAATACATATGTTATTCAATTTATTTCTTTGTTGAAATTACGTTCGACAAGACGCTACAATATATCCAGTCATTTGACAATACATGTATATATATTTTTTATTCTAAAGTGTGTGAATGTAGTCTTAAACTCACACGCAAAACGACAAAAACACAATCAGATTATAATACATAAGCA